CACCCCAGGGACGCGTGTACAAGTATCTGGTTCCGATTACATGTAATTGCGTATAAATAATTTTTGCGCTTATCAAACTTCTCTTGTTACCAGAAAATATCACGTGAAACTCAGAAGTAAATGGATATGGCGCGTTTTAATTATATACGTATATAGGTATGTAGATGTATATCTACCTATTACTGTATCAATCTATGTCTGTAATTATGTGTGTATGTGTAATGTGTGTGATTATGTATATGTGTGCGAGTGTATGAGTATGCGAATGTGTTCACATGGAACACAGAAGGGAAGGACAAGAAAACACGATATATTTCTTGCTCTTCCCTTCGTTGTTCCATTTGCAATTTGTTCCCCGTGAATTCCACACATATAAGTGTTTGTGTGTGTGAAAAGATCGAGGTAAGAATGCTTTTATCACGAAGAAAGTTCCGGTAATTCTTCCTTTCTCAGGCGAGTCTTTGGGCCAGCCCCTCGCCGAGGCAGCTCGACTCCTCAGGCAGGACGGGCCCTGGCCAGGGCGCCCTGCGCTAAGGGCCCTGCGCTCTGCGTCTGGACCAGCAGCTGATTACGGACCTGGCCCTTGTTGCAAAGGGTCTCGAGCGCGTCTTCCTGGCTCAAGTTTCTGTTTGTTTTCACATGGCAAAAAAATCAAGTCTGGGATGCAGATCTAGGGTTTAGTGTACCAAATGTATTTAGAAACTTTTTACAATTCCTTTGATCTATACAACTGGTTGCTTTTAACCTCGTCGGATCGCTTCCGTGGCTCCCGATGGACTCCTCTTGGATCTCAGTGGATAATCCGCAGTCACCATTGTACGTTTGTTTATTTTCCTTCAGCAGTTATTCCTTTCTTGCGGCCAGAGCATGAAATGGCATCCATGGCTCTCGCCGGATGTTTTATTCGATCGATAAAGCAAAGGACGTTCTCGTGCTTGGCCTTTGTGCGCTCGTCTTCGCTGCCATATTGGCCGGTTTCTTTTTTTCTCAAAACTTCCGTCTGTTCCTTTTTTAGAGCGAGTTGCTGGGGGATTATTGTGCGAGGAGGACGGGCCGCGCGGCCTCCGAGGGGATCAGGCGGGCGTCTCGCTGGCAAGGGCGCCGCGCTCGACGGGCTCGTCCTCTGGCCTGAACTCCTCGACGCCGGGCCGCGCGCCTCACGCTGCCGATCCCATTTCATCGTTGCTGTTATCGTTTTTAGTGTTATTACTTTTATCTTTATTATTTTTATCATTATCATCATTACCATTATTGTTATCATGATTTTCATTAAAACTTTACTTTAATCACCGCCTTTGTTGATGCCATTGTCAAAATCATTATCGTTGTTACCAAAATTATTAATTTTGATTTTCTTCCTTTCGTATGAAAACTATCTGTACATTTATCCTCGCATCGTGTTACAACTTCTTTCCCCGTAAGTTTCCCCTTTTTGGACTTGATCTCCGCTGAGACCTGCTCTCTGCTCAGACTTGGTCTCTGTTAAGTTCTCGAGAAAGAGCTCACGTTGGAACCTCTCTTTAGCGTCTGTGTTTGCTTATAACAGTTGCTTTGTTTTGTTTCTTTTATAATGTGAAATAGCTTATAAAGGGATCTGATATATAAAGGGAAGTTATTTGTCATTTTGTGATTTTTTCATTTGTTTTTTTGTTTAATTTATTTTCATGTATCATTTATCCTGGTTTATGTTTTACTGCTTTCTACTTGGCGTTATGTTGTTTGGCATTCGAATGTGTACGTGCTTGTGTTTCTGTATACACATTATCAAGAAAATGTATGCGTTTTTGTGCCTATGTTTTTTTTAATTATTATTATTGTTTTTATCGATTTATTTATTTATCTATTTTTAATCTACCCGTATTTCTTACTCTATTTTTTAGATAAAAAGATATTCAGCTCGACATGACTTAGACTGAGTTAACATAGCTCATACGGACAAACACATACACATAGAAATGCAATCAATCATATATACACTCCCTAAGCATGCGATTTTTTTTCATTTCTTTATTTCAGTTCTCCTCATACTTCCCTATCTCTACCCATTCGCATCTCATTACAGATTCCATCATCT